CAGATCAACTGTTGTAACAGAAAAGAATCCAGAAATAATCTCAAATTCAATAGGAATTGTGTATATATATAATAAATAAATAAGTGAATAAACCAAACTCATTGACATCGAGTCAATTCTGACTCATAGCAACCCTACAGGACAGAGTAGAACTGCCCCATAGAGTTTCCAAGGAACCCCTGGTGGATTCGAACTGCCGACCTTCTGGTTAGCAGCCATTGCTCTTAACCACTACTCCACCAGGGTTTCCATAATAAAAACAGAAAGGCAAAATATCCAATTTTAAATAGCATTCTACCCTACTGCATCCATATTTCACCCTATATACCAAAGTGAATTATATATGCTGCAAAGATTTAAATGTCAAAAATGAAACCAGAAAGCACTATAAGAAAACATGAGAAAATGATTTTTACATTCAGAAGCCTTTCTAATTAGGACACAAAGGCCAAAAACCATTAAAAAAAAAATTAACTACACAATATAAAAAGAAATACCTCATAGAAAAAAATACCATGAAGTCAGAAGACAAATGAAAAACTGAAAGAGTACATTTGCATATACACCACAATTACACTTGCAGCAATTTATCTTACAGATATTCATTTGCAAAATAGTTAATATACAAGGATATTCATTAAAGATTATTTCTAATAGCAAAAATTGAAAACCTTCTAAATGTCAATCAATAGGGAACCAATTAAATAAATAACATACACATCTACAAAGAAAAATTATACACTAAAAAGAACAAAGCAATACTACATGTACTAATATAAAAAAATTTAAAAGATATTAAGTTGTTTTAAAAAAGGAAAGTGCAGAAGAATAAATCTAACATTCTACCATCCTCCTCCCCCAAATTAAATATGGTAAACACAACTATTTACTCCAGGGATTGGCAAACTGACATGCCACTATTTCTATAAAATTTTATTGGAAATCAGCCTCTCTACTTCACTTATCTGTTGTCTACGGCTGCTTTCATGCTATCACAGCAGAGCTGAGTAGTGCAACACAGACCAGATGGCATAAAGTCTAAAATATTTACTCTTTGACTCTTTACAGAAAGTTTGCCAAGCCCTGATTAATTCTATAGGCCTCATTTCTATTGTCACTGTTTCTGTTTAAAATATACGTTATCTGAGCTTCCCAGATGATAATCAATTTCAAATAGCCAACAAAATTTTTGTAAGCCCAGGTAGAAATGATGACTATAAAAGTAATAGCTTTTAAAAAACTCAGTAGTACATTCACCACTATCTCTGTCAACGTTTTTCAAAATATGCATCCATCACAACCCTAGCTTCTAATACGGTAGGGCCAGGAGACATGGTTGGAATTGGAGTGGTAAGGAAGAAGATAAGTGCATTTTGAAAAGGCTTTCCAAATGATTCTGACAGATTCCCTTTTTTACTCCCATTACCACTGAATACCAAGTTTGATTAATTTGACATGGAAAGTACAGTTAGAAAAACTAAAATTAAACCTGGAACTAATATAACTAGTATATACCAGATAACTGTGAGTTTTGTAAAAAAAAAAAAAAATTAAATTTTATTTAGAATCCTCTATTTTAGATGACAATTATAGTTTGGACTTTGACATCAAAAGTTTAAAGTTTTACTCATTGGTGTTGAAGGGCTCATTCAATTATAAATGAGCTAGAGGACTACACTATGACACAGTTCTTAGAAAGAGTTTTTCTACCTAAGATACATAATAAACTAAAAAAGAAAAAGTCTAATAAAAATGCCATTAACTAGTGTAAGATCTTTAAAGAAAACTAAGACCAAGAAACATCCAAAATACAAAACAATAAAGCCATTATATCAGTTGAGAAAAGCACCTTCCATTCTTCTACTTTTGCACTGACAGCTACCATGACTGGATCATCTTCTTCGTTTTTCACTTTTAAAAGTTCTGTGAGCTCCTGCACCTAAAAAGCAATAATCAGTTTAAGAAATGTTGCAAATTGGTGCA